CCTTAACAAGTGGGAGGCACATATGCAAACTGTTGTAATTCCTACACTGTTCACCTGATTTGGATGTAAATACCGTCAAATTAAAGCTGACAGTCTGCAGTTAAAGCACATCTTGTTCGTTGTGGTGGTGTATAGAGCCAAAAATTTTAGAATTGTGTCGATGTCCCAATATTTATGGACCTGACTGTATATTGTACATTCCCATCAGTCCCTGTCCTCAAGGAGCTTACAATCTAAGGTATTGCATGTGCAATTACCATATATTATGCATGTAATATATGTATAAAAACCTCCATTGTGTGGACATCCAAAAGCTCTGAGACTGATGATGGGCACTGCCATCTTGGATTTGCCAGTTTCCTAGCAAGTTAAGAGGCACATTGCAGGTCAATAAAAAATGTTTATGAAAAGGAAAAATATCTAGACCTTTGTCAGGACCTAGATCAGCTGCTAGACCCTAGAACTGCAACCTTCCCAGCGTGGAAGGTTGCAGTTCTAGGGTCCACCAGTGGGTGTCTCCCAGCAGCCAGAGAATTCCATATATCAGTCTCCATCTGATGCTGGTTGCCCAGAGGGTATTTAGTCTCTCCTCCACTATCAGTTGTTTTGCTTTGCTGTGCTAAGTCAGATGCTGCCATTTATCCAGCTCCCAATCTTCCTTTTGCCCTGCATCTTGTACCCTGCACCCTACTGCCTTATATCGTCTCCCCTTGTTCCTAAGCCCAGTCCTGGCTCCCCCCATTGCTTGCATCTTAAGACAACAAATACTCAGAGAAAATAGCTTCTAGATCCTAAGTGCAGCTGAGTCATTAGTGGCATCAGTGTTATGTCAGGAATCAGCAGCAGAGGTGGCCAACTCTACGTAACTACAATTTGAAACTGAGACCAGACTGAATATATTAAAGTACATTTATTAATAGTAAAACAAAAGACATGCACACTCCAGCAAACAGGAAACAAGCAAATATGAAGATATCATTGAATTACAACCATATAACCAAAATGCCTAAGTAACAAGAAGCCTACCAGCAAATTATATTCAATATACACAATATGTACAATATGTAGCACGACCCTCTTGAAAGCTGCTGGTTTTTGGGTACCCCTTACTTCCTGCACAGCCAAGCAACATGCATTTTCCAGACACAAGAAACAGTCCATGGGCTTGTTTTTTTTATTTATTAGGGAATTTAACTTGGATAGGGTAAATTAATTACGGGATGCCCAACTTGACTGAAGAATATCAAATGAGGACAATTTCTTTCTCTAAACTACTACAAAAATTGCAGATATTTGACTGTGTTTCATGACAGTCTTTAGCAAAGTGACAGCTTGCAGGAGCTTTGAGTCCCCTTGAGTGGATTTTCAGCAAAGTCCCAACTTGTAGGAGCTCTTAGTTTCCGAAGAGAACAAAATACCAGTCCACCTGGCTACAGTATCTGATGATCCCAGGACAAGGGATTAGGTAAGCTATGAACTTTCTTCTGAAGATTTACCAAGAACTTGCATCCAGGAGACTTCTCCCTTACAGGCCCTGGGGGTATAGAGGTACTCACATTGAACGTGTCCTGCCGCTATGGACAGAACTGCTTTCAGGTCTTCCGCTGGGCTGGTTCCTCTCCAAGCTATGCAAGCTGTCCTTCTCCAGAGGACTACAGTCCTTCAGCTTTCCTCTTTCCTCCAACCTCCAGCCTGGAGACAGAACCACCCTTCTCTGGGGCCCCCTCACAGGCTACACAGCAGCATTTCTCAACACATTATCTTTCACCTGATTCCCCTGCTGGCCAGGCTCCGTCATATTTATGGCTGGTCTATCACACTGCCAGGCCTACTGCCTTGGATTGGTCAGACTCCCATAAATATGCGTATCAGCCCTCACCTCCGCCTACTTACTTCTAGAAGCTTCTCCAAGCTGACGGAGGTACCAGAGTGCTGACCTGTAGAGCCCTCCAGCTTAACCTGAAGTAACCCTCTGTCTAAACCCAGGTGTCTAGCAAGCCTATAACTACTCTAAACAACTATGTACAGTAGAGGATGCCATAAATATATACAAGATAGGGCTCACAGGGAATGCTGGAGATGCAAGTAAGGATGGGAACTATGACTGGGGTCAGGAACAAGGGGAGCAGATATAAGGCAACAGGGTACATGATGCAAGCCAAAGCAAGATCAGGAACAAGATAAATGGCAGCAGCATTTGACTTAGCACAGTGAAGCAAAACACAAAGTGCAAAGTGTAATAATGGAGAAGAGACTAACACCTCGGCCACATCAGGGGCGACTTGGCATGTGATTTGTATGCCCTGCTGCTTGCAAATTATCTGCAAAGGTGCACCCTATTATCCGCTATTAAAGCGGTCATATCGGTGCGGTTCTTACTTGGTCGAGCCACACCGATTTCTAAAGTAGTGCATGCACTACTTTTGTTGCAATTTGCATAGACATCTGTGTCACATGTCTTGCAAATTGCAATTGAAATCGGCAGGTCACCCAATTTTGAAATCATGTGACTTCACTGTAAGTTGCATGATTTCAAAATCGGCTTTGATGTGACTGGGGCTTAAAGTGTTACTAAACCCACAACAGTAAAATCAGTCTTGTTATACTCACTGTGGAACCTAAGGGGCCAATCATCTGCATTGTGTAAAAAGGCCGTTTGATCCTTTTTTTCTCTGCCCCTCCTCTGAAATGACCACCTGATACAGACTGAATCTGTAGTTACTTGCACATGCTCAGTTTGGTGTGTATTGCTAGAGAGGTTTTTTTTTTTTTCTTGGGAGAGTGCATGTGATAAGCATAGGGCCAATCAGCACTGTCCAGACACAGGCTCAGAGGTTTCAAGCCTCCTAGAGCAGAAAGAAAACTCCTCTTAAAAGCTTTAACCAGTGCTCCGCTGAAGTCACAAGACTGCTCTAACTGCTGATGAGAAAAGGTATTTATTTATTTTATTTATTTATTTCAGGTATTTATATATAGCGCTGTCAATTTATGCAGCGCTTTACATATATATATTATACATTCACATTAGTCCCTAACCCTCAAGGGGTGTACAATCTAAGGTCCCTAGCTTACATTCATACATACACATACCAGGACAATTTAGACAGGATCCAATTCACCTACCAGCATGTCTTTGGAGTTTGGAAAAAACCGGAGTACCCAGAGGAAACCCACGCAGGCACAGGGAGGACATGCAAACTCCAGGCAGGAGGTGCCTTGGCTGGGATTCAAACCAATGACCCTAGTACTGCCAGGTGGAAGTGCTAACCATTTAGCCACTGTGCTGCCCATATTTAGCAGTTTATATTTACTAAAATAATTGCATTTCCATGTTCTGTGTAATGTGGTAGACCAGATAGTGAATGCAGGGTTCTGGGTTTAGTATCACTTTAATACCCTCCCAGCAACCAGCATAGGATGGAGACTGATTACTGGAATCTGCTGGCTGCTGGGAGACACCAGCTGGTGGACACTGGAACTGCATTCTCCAGCTCTGGGAAGAACAGTGCCACCAGTAGCTGATCTAGGTCCTGACAGAGAACCATACCAATTCGGAAGTTCTCCTAACTTTTTATCCAGGTGAGAAATGGTTACCTTAATAAATAATGATGAAATATCTTCCCAATGGGGACACAGGTAAGAAGAGAAACCTGCAAAGGTTTTAACCTTCCTCCACTCTATGTAAAACCAAAGATATTAGTTGGAGTGTTCTTTAGTTCCTCATCTCTGTAAGAACCAAGAAATCTGTCTTTCCTCTTCGTTGATGTTTTTCCCTTCTGTCCTTTTTTTCTAGTGTGGGTTTTTGTATTGAACAATTTGATTGGTTTTTGGAAGTCACACTGACTGTGTGACTCTTCTTTCAGACCGTTAGATAAATGAAGCCTAATGTCTTGTGTTCATTGCGCTTGACTGCTGTCAAGTGAATCTTGGTAAATTTTGTCACAGGGAAGAAAATCATTTTGCAGCTGGCACAAAACAAATGCATTTTGGTTGGGTAACAGCAGTGAGAATAAATGGGAATAAAGTAAAAATGGATTTGGACACATTCCAGAAAGAGCGATATGGCTCTTTCCGCATATTCAGCCGGCTGATGGATTTCATTTGCATTCACATTTACAAGGCTGACTGCTATGTGAGCGGTAGATAAGCACCAAAGAACCTAAAACAATGGAAATATCTGAAGCATATTAGAAAAAAATCATTGTTACTTTACTTTGAGAACTGAATTTCCTGCTGTATATGGCAAAGGTTATGAAGTCTTGAGCTGGAATAAACAATTGTATTTGAATGTAACCACAAAGCGGCTTTTTCTGGCCTGATAAAGCAACGGAATGTTATCAAATTACATTTTAACAATGTGTATAAATGAGTTTGTCCAAACAATATTTCCAATAAATAACTAATAAGACAAGAACCAGAGGTACCCTCTCAGACATTCATAGCAGGTCAAACAATCTTGCCAAAATTAAAGCCCCAACAATCGTATTTAAAGTAGAGATAAACCTCTATCAGGCTTTTTTTTTCCATCTGTGTCCCTTTAGGGAGATTTCACTTCACCTGTTGTCCTATAGCCAAAACAGGTAGTGGGGAAAAATCCCTCTAAATTTAGAAACAATTGAGTACTGACGTGATACTTTTTTTATTTGCACTAACATACAATTTTGAGGACAAGCTTTCGGGGTATGTCCTCTTCTTCAAGGTCCAAGCAGTACTATTACAATGTTTTAGCAGAATGTTAGAAGTTGGAGATGAGAGAAAAAAAAAAAACGCAGAAAGAAACACAAGCCTGGGGTTAAACTAGAGACCCTTTACTACAGATAAGATACAGCACAGCAAAAGTAAAGACTGGGGAGGGGAAAAGAACAACAATCCCAGAGTCATAAAAATGTTGGATAATGATTGAGGAATCCCATGTCCAAATTCAGGCCGTTATCTCTTGTGTCAAATAGAATTATCATTCTTAGTTCAAAGGTTTTTCTTTCCTGAATGGATCTGAAATTTCCTTTCAGAACTAAAACATTGAGAATCACCTCTAAATTTAGGAAATCCTTAGTTCTCACCAGGGTCAATGGAACTAGTTTCCACTCTAATGTCTTTCTGGGGACCACCCAAAATTTGGGATTTTCTTTCACTTTCAGTGATAACATAAGCATGGCATAATTGAGGGTGAATCTCCCTAATAGGGTCACAGACAGAAATAGAAAACCTACATTTTATCTACCTCATAGCGATACATCTTAGAATTTTACAGTAGGTAGTAGTAGACAGTAGGGCCTGATAGGCCTTGTGGAATGGTTAATGATAGGTTGTATTACTGAATACAGTGGAGATGGATTCCTTTCCAATACCAGATAGAGATATGCCCATGAATAGTATGGGCCCCATCTATAAAGCATCATTATGGTCTTACGCTGGTCATACATACATAGATTTCCTTCATTTAGCACGTCTTAGCTATGTCAGTACTGTGCTGCTCACTGTTCTCCTACCTGGAAGCTCTGCAGTGAGGAAGAAAAGCCTTGCTCCTACGAAGCAAGCTGCCTCTACACAAAGACAGCACAGAACAAGACTTGGAAAGTTAGCAGTAAGGAGAAGATCAGCTGAAGGGATGGCACAGCAATACTGATGGCTACTTCTTTTACCCTCTGTCTACTCTGTCTGCTAGTCTCAGGAGATTTGGAGTGAGACTTGGCGATGTCACTACAGCGTTGCTCACTGTACTCCTTCCTGGGGGTTCTGACATGAGGAAGCAAAGTCCTGCGTCTACCAAGATGGCCACCTCCACACAGTGACACAGTGGAAAACATGTCATGGCAAATCAGTAATGGGGAGAAGAACAGCTGCAGGTAGACCACAGACAATACTGGTGACTAGACCTTCACCCTCTGCCTGATTATTTTTTGCCACAGCTTCCAGAGTTCAGAACCTCTTTAAGACATGTCAAAGTGGCTTCTCAGTCAGTGTTACAGTATAGTATGCCATCTTAGCATGCCTTAAAGAAAAATTATACTTTTGTATAATTATCCAAGTTACTTTCTCCCCCTCAACATCCTTCCAAAGTCTGGAACATATTCCTCCAATCACACAATTGTGGTGGATAGAGGAATCTTCATTGCTGAGACATTGTATTCATACATATGTTCAGCAGCTTTGACCTACTGGTTGCAGTCACTGATCGAGACATTTTTTTCCATCAAAACCCATCTACAGAAGTTGATCGTTAGATTGACTTTTGTTGATCAGGATCAGCCACACATGGATTGATCCTGGATTGAAAATTCTACTGGTCCCTGCTGAACCGGCAAAATTTCGAACCATCTATGGCCAGCTTAATACTCACCATATCAGGATTTCTAGGAAGAGGCATGCAGGGAGAGTTTGCAGGACTGAGTGTGTGGTTTTTCATGTCCTGCGCAGTGTGGATCTAGCTGGAGCATAGACCAGTGGTTGTGAACTTGCAAGGTAAAGAGGGCCTCAAATGCAGCCTCTAATAACGCAGAAGAGCCACATATATTTATTGCATGTAATGCTCCAGAAAACTATCACAGTTGGTCAGATTGTTCTACTGGAATGGTTGGAGAGACTGAAGTCATACTAAAGAAGACCGTTAGAGACTAGGGTCATGTTGCATGAAACCACTAGGCTTTCCTACTATTACGCAGTACCCTTTTTAAATCTCAAATGTTCCTTATACTGACCGCTGGGGCCCAAGGGCTACACTTCAAACACTAAGGGGCTGCATGTGGCACTCGGGCTGCAGGTTGAATACCAGGGGTATAGGCAAATGAGTATAAGACTTAAGGATGGGGAAATGGTCATTGAAAGGATAACAATATAAAGGTTAGCACACTTTAATTTCAATTACAGTATGATAAATAACAGCCATTGTCAGAATATTCTAACTTGGGTAAGCAGCAGTAAGTAATTCAGTGAAAAAAAGGTTATCCTAGCAGACGGAAGGTTGCTTTGGCAGCCAAAGACTCCAGTGATGGAAATCCAGCCCTGCACTTTGCATTTTCCTTTTGAAAGTGCTTGTTATATATCAGATCTAAAAGTTTCAAACTGTCCATATTTTTATCTTCCTAAAGATTAAATGTCATCCCACTTCCAGCGTGTTTGCTAACAATGCTCTTCCCATTTATCCAGGAAGAATGATCATTGGCTGCTATAGTATTGACATTCCACTAGAGAATCTCTGCTGAACCTTTTTGCTTCTGACAGTCGATGAAATACATTTGACTAAATGTTAGATGTTCTTTGCCTTTCCTGTGCCAGGTTTTCAGCAGTTACACTAATGTATTTCCAGCATTGTCAGTTGTAACAATGACAGGCAAATAATGAAGAAAAGGATACGGCAGGAAGGAAGCTGAATTCTACATACCGTATACACCATTTAACCATAACATTTGGACCATCCGCCATAACATTGTATTATTGATCAGGTACCCCTTTTGATGCCAAAACAGCCCCGACACTTCTACACATGGACTCCACTAGACAAGTGATCACACTGCCCCTGCCAGCTTGCTTTCTTCCCATACATTATCCTGGTACCATCTCTTCCCCAGGTAAGCAACACACACACCGGGCCATCCACATGATGTAAGAGAAAATGTGCTTAATCAGACGAGTCCACCTTTCTCAGTGCTCTTTGGTCCAGTTTTGATGCTCACGTGTCCATTGTAGGTGCTTTTGGCTGTGGATCAGCATGGATACCCTGACTGGTCTGCAGCTACACAGCCCCATACACAAAAACTGTGAAGCAATGTGTGCCACTTTTCTATCAGACCCAGCCAGGGGCGGACTGACCATTTGGAAACTCGGGCACTGCCCGAGGGTCCGGGGTCAGTAGGGGGCCCCATGAGATGCCCCTGGTACCTTTTTCATAGGCTTTTTTGAGTTTGGGCATGGACACAGGGGCTCCATGACCCCCTATTGCCCGGGGGCCCCATGAGTTGTCAGTCCGCCCCTGGACCCAGCATTAACTTTTTCAGCAATTTGAGATGCAGTAGCTCTTCCATTCGATCAGACTAAAAGGGCCAGCCTTTGCTCCCAATGTGCATCAATGAGCCTTGGCCACCCATGACCCTAACCACCGGTTCCTTGCTTGGATATATTTTGGTAGGTCCTGACTACTGCAGACTGGGAAAATCCCACAATAGCTGCAGTTTTGGAGCTTTTCTGATCCATTCATCTAGTCATTACAATTTGGCCCTTGTTGAAGTTGCTCAATTCCTTGCAGTAGCTCCTTATAGTATCTCTTTTATTAGATCGGACTACACAGGCCAGCTTTCACTCCCCATGTGCATCAATGAGCCTTGGCCACCCATCACCCTGTCACTAGTTTTCCTTTCTTGAACAACTTTTGGTAGGTCCTGACCACTGCGAACAAGGAACATCCCACATGAGCTGCAGTTTTGGAGTTGCTCTGATCCAGTTGTCTAGTCATTACAATTTGCCCCTTGTCAATGTCGCTCAATTTCTCATGCTTGCCCATTTTTCCTGCTTTCAGCACATCAATTTCAGGGACAACATGCTCACTTGCTGCCTATTTTATCCCACCCACTTTTAGATGCCATTGTCACAAGATAATCAATGTTATTCACTTTACCTGTCAGTGGTCATAATATTATGGCTGATTAGTGTATGCTACAAAATCATTATTATTAATAGTGTGTCTTTCACCTCCACGTAAGCAGAAGTCAAAGTCACGGTAAAACCTCTAAGTAAAGTGGAACTCAAGCTAACTTTTTGCAACAATAGGATAGGTCTGGTCTTTACTGCTGTCTCTGTTCATATTTGGAGATTGTCCCCCACCTCTGGTCCCAAACAGAAAGCAAATGAGAATCCCAACATTGCCAATTGTTACTGACACAGGTGCCCCTTTTGGGAACTTTCCCTTTTAATCCTGTTCTGATAACATTTTACTTAGCTGTGATCACCAGGGCAGAACAGAGTATCTACAATGGGGACACAACAATAAAAACCTGAAAGAGTTTCTAACACTACACCACCAAACTCAAAAGTAGAAAAAAAATTGGGCTAGAATTCTACTTTAAACAGACACTGTCACTGCCGTTTCAGGACAAACTGACAGTTTCTGTCAATAGGACCCCATACACACTGATCCTCCCCCGCCATATCTTAGCTAGTGAAAAGTAATTGACATTTCCAGGTATGTGACCTTCTTCCATGTGACAGTGTTCAGGTCTAGTGGACATTCACCCGAGCACTGTCACATAACAGAGGCATGTTTAGCATTGCTCCATCTAGGCTCTAACAGCAATCTTGATGGAGGAAAGAACAGTTAAAGTGGAGCTCCAGTCAAAGCTAAAAAAATAAAAGTCAGCAACTACAAAAACTGTAACTGCTGACTTTTAAAAAAACAGCCACTCCCCTGTCCCATGATTCAGCCGTATACTTACTGCAGCCGGTTTCACTGGCCGTCCTTGCTCCCTGGCGCCAGCATCGTAAGAGTGGGCACCTGGCTGTGACAGCTTGCGGATTCTCAGCCGGGTGCGCAATGTGCGTGCATGCGCGAGTAACGCTGCGCCTTGTGAATGGTTCTGTAGTCTTCTGGGACCTGCCACGTGTCCCAGAAGACTATGAGGGGGAAGGGGGGGGGGGGGGCAACAACTTCCACTTCCGATCACCTAGGCAATTGCAGCGGAAGTAGGGGCAGGTACCTGTCAAAATTGGGTACCTGCTCCCCAAAGGTACCAATTCCTGGGATGGGGGGAAGGGAGGGAATCTTTTCACAGACACTGTCAGTTTGTTCTGAGTGGGCTAAGTGACAGTGGTGGAGATTTAATCAAACTGGAGCACTCAGAATCTGGTGCAGCTGTGAATGGGAGCCAATCAACTTCTAACTTCAGCTTGTTCAATTAAGCTTTGACAATAAAACCTGGAAAAAACAATAAATGGAGGTAATTGCGAGCGCAAAAAACATATAAGCAGCCAGCATATGAAAGGTAAACCTCTGCACCTCTAATAGACAGTATATAATAATAAATATGCATTTGTCCACATTGAGCTTGATGACCCAGCAGCCCTAGACCAGACCTAGATGATCCCATAAAAGATACATCTTTTTTGCACATTTATTATGCGCTTCTGGTAAGTGCATAGTTTTACTGG